AAGAATAGAGAACCTTTAAATATTGCTTAAAATATTAGCAAACCCAACCCTCAACTGCAGATGAGTTGACAGATGAACTGCACCAGATTTTCAAAGGAAAATGTTTATTCCAATGTTAGGAAGAAAGTGAAAATCTCTTTTATTTGTTTATTTATTGATTGATTTTATTTATCAGTTTATTATTGAGAAAAAAATGTACTTACTTTAAAACAGAAAAGAGCAGTATAATAAAAAGGATATACGGAGCAACGGACCAATCTTAATCAGTAAAGTATGCTCACCTTACTAGACCTGGATGGAGGTGGGTGGTCCTTGGACTTCCCACAGGGCAGGGAACCCTGATTGCTCTTTGGGCTGACAAGGGAGGGGGATTTGGTTGGGGGAGGGGGAGGGAAAGGGGAGGCGGCGGTGGGGAAGAGACAGAAATCTTTAATTAATTAATAAAGAAATAGATAAATTAAAGAAAAAGAAAAGTATGGGTCAATGCCTGTGCCCTATGTTACCAACAAAAGTAATGGGATGTCCCTTGTCTGGGCTACTGCCTGGAGCCATGTTCATGCCTTAGTGCTGCTGTTCAGAGCCTCTCCTTACCCTCACCTACTGAATCACTCAGCGTGCTGGGCCTGTCCCTATGCAAGAGTGGGAGAGCTGGCCTCCTTCCTGGTGTGGTGTGGGAGAGGAGGTTCTGCACTTTGCCAGCTATAGCACTCACTAGAGAGGGGCCCTGCACCCCAACAGGGTACCCAGTAGAACTGGCACTGATGGGGTGGGTGTGGGAGAGATGGTCCTAAGGTATGAGCTCAGAGAGCTAGTCCTACCACTTGCCAACTACCACAGGCAGGAGAGCTGGCCCTTGCTACCCATGGAAAGTAAGAGAGCTGGCCCTGATGTGGAGGGTTTGGGAGAGGAGGGCTCATCGACTCAACAACCTCTGCGGTCCAGATCCAGGGCTTTGAATTAGCTGACTCTAACATCTATCCCATCTAAGAAGTGCTGGAACATGTGAAGCATCTGGTCCTACACAACCAAAGCTGAAGGATCTCCATGACAGGGAACTTCTGATGCGGATCCAGTATTAATGAGGTAGCGTTGGCATTGAATCAGGCCAATGACTCCTTACAATGAACACTTGCAAATAAAGTTGTTTCAGCAAAAGGGCAGACTGGGTGACACATCATGACACACTATAGCTTCCACAGAGAGATGCTTCTCTTTTGTTTAACTTTAGTTATTTATTTATTTAAATTTATCATTTTTATTTTTTGTTTTCTTGGGGTGGGGGAGGGTCGAGGTTTTGAAGACAGAGGGCCGATCTGGAGGGATGGGAAGATCAGTGGGATTGGAATACATGATATTAAATTCACAAATAATCAATAAAAAGTTAAAAAAAATGAAAAAGGCTGGGCGGTGGTGGCGCACACCTTTAATCCCAGTACTCTGGAGGCAGAGGCAGGCAGATCTCTGTGAGTTGGAGGCCAGCTTGGTCTACAAGAGCTAGTTCCAGGACAGGCTCCAAAACCACAGAGAAACCCTGTCTCG